GCCCAAGATGGGGTGTGTGGCCAACCTGCCCTGTGCTCCCTCCAGACTGCTGGCTGCCGGAATGGGCTGAGACCCCCGATGGGAGCCAGGCAAGCAGGTAGGGTCCCCGGCTGTGACATCCGGAAACTCAAGTCAGAGAAGCTCCCGCCCCCAGAGAGGCACTGCACCCTCTCTCGCTGCCTGGGCAATTTGGCTGGGCCTGTGACCAGACCGGCCTCAACCTGGGAGCCGAACAAGCGGAGCCCATGTTGGAGCAGCCGTGTATGTGGCTCGGGGTGTCAGGCTCTGCCTCGGCTCACGTGACGCCAGGCGGGACCCTTGTGCCAGGAACTGTCCAGCAGCGCCTCCTTCTAACCGCCTGGTAACGCCTTCTCTTCTTTTCCCTGTGGGGCTGGTGCTGTGCTAGCCCCCTTACACGTGATCTCATTTGCTGCCCCCCGACCCGGTCAAGGCCTGGGAGGGAGAGAAACAGTTTGCCCCATTTGGTGCAGAAACTGAGCCCAGGGAAATAGAGTGTGATCCGAAGCCACACGGCCACTCTGTGGCAGAGCCAAGACTGAAAGCCCAAGGCGCTGTTCTTGCCCCAAGTTCCTGCTTGGCTGCTGGGCCTGCCCGCCTGTGGGTTCCTCTGCAAGGGGCATAGTTGGAACCAGGGATGGGGGGCTTCGGGAAACCTGCTGCGCTCCTGGGAGCTTCCCCCGGCTGGGAACCTGTGCAGACCCTGCCCTTGGCTGGGCCAAGAAGCCCGTGTATAGTGGGGAAGACAGGTGAGCATCCTGTCTCTGCCCCAAGAGGATAGCCATTTCCTAGGGAAGAGCACAGCTTCCCGACATGAGGCCCCAGGGGTGGGCAGGTGACCCCTGTCCAAGGCTCAGCAAAAGCCCTAGTACGAACTATAATATCCACCAGTACCTGGTTCTGGAGAGTCCCAGGAGTGCCCCCTGGTGGCGATGCCCACCTTGCCCCACTGCCCCAAACTTTCTGGGACTTTCCATCACCCTGCTCCAGAACCTTTGGCCGGCACACGTCCACATCGCCCACTCCTTTCCATTTGAAGCACATTATCGAGCCCCCGGGGGTAAATGGGGCAGGGGTTGATTCTATGCTCAGAAAGTTCACCCCCCCAGTGACAGGTTCTGCAACATCTGCCTAGCTTCTGGGCTCTCCCCAGTTTCTCTCAGTTTTTGTCTGCCTGACAAACTCCTGTTCATCCTTCAAAGCCCAGCTCAATGAAGCTAGAAACCTTGGAATGCCCATCGGAATGGGACTGGATAAATTACAGCCCCTCCCTCCCGTGGAACGGAGTTAGGAGAAAAGTCTATATATGGTCTTAGAGGAATCTCCAAGATGTGCCGTTGAGGGACAAAAAAAAAAAAAAAAAAAAACAAACCCTAGAAGCAGCAGTAGCATATGTCACTATTTGTATTCTAAAAGTTGGGTCAGGGGTGGAGCGTCTGGGTGGCTCCGTTGGCTAAGCGTCTGACTTCGGCTCAGGTCATGTCTCCAGGTTCGACAGTTTGAGCCCCGTAGAGTTTGAGCCTCTGCTGTCAGCTTGGATCCTCTGTTTCCCCCTCTCTGTCTCTCTGCCCCCTCCCACTTATGCTCGCTATCTCTCAAAAATAAATAAACTTTTTTAAAGGTTGGTGGGGGGTTAAAAAACACACTGTGCATCAGGAACAGGTGTAGCAATTTCTCATGAATCTGCACCCAGCTGCTCCACTCCCGGGTATTTACGCAAAGACTTTTATGCAAGAATGTCTGGGGCACCTGGCTGGCCCAGTCGGTAGAGCATGCGACTCTTGATCTCTGGGTTAATTCAAGCACATTAGGTGCAGAGACTACTTAAAACAATCAGGGGCGCCTGGGTGGCTCAGTCTGTTCAGCATCTGACCTGGATTTCAGCTCAAGTCATGATCTCACTTTCGTGAGATCAAGCCCTGTGTCAGGCTTCATGCTGGACATGAAACCTGCTTGGGACTCTCCCCCTCTCTCTCCCTCTGCACGCGCCCCCCCCCCCCCCGTCCTGCTTTCTCTCAAAAAAATACATATATTTTAAAAAATAAAAAATAAAAAGACTATATACATCACATGCACGTTCTGTACTGCCATTCACTATTTTGTGAGAATATATTTGCTGAACATTGGAAAAGAGAATTAAAGGCAACTCTTTTTTTTTTTTTTTTTAATGTTCATCACAGCTGATTCATAGTAGCTGAAATGTAAGATTGGGCCAAACCGCCAACGGCAGGTAGGTGGACGAGGAAACAGTAGTACACTCATACAGTGGCATCTCCAGGAATCAAAAGAACAGTGATAGCACAGCCTGCACGAATCTCAGAAGCGTGGATCTGTTTGAAGCGGACTCAAACGAGTCACAAGAGAATGCATCCACGCTTTTAAGTACTACCCCATTTTTAAGTCCGAGAGCAGGCAGAGCTGATCTATGGTGAGAAAAACCAGAACAGCGTTGTTTTTCTCTAGCGTGTTGGAGTCGGCCTAGCCTCAGCCTCCATTGCAGGGAGCCTGCTTGGAGGCTCAGGGTCCGCTCTCATCTCCGACCCCTAAGACCAGGTTTGGCCACGCCCCGCGGGCGGGGCGCTGGGAGCAGGGCGGGCACACGGGAGGCAGGCGCTGTGCGCTTCTGACCGCGCGGGGGCGCTGTGGCTTCGCAGTCACGGGCTTCGCGCCGCCGTGGGGAGGCGGTCAAGACCCCCGGGAAGCGACAAGGGAGAGGGACTGGCACTGTCCTCGCAGTCGCTCGCCTCTGGGACACCGCCGCCCACCGGATAGGCCGCAGCCGGGCCCCTCGCCCTTCCCCTCGCCTCGCCCGCGCTGTGCTCAGCCACCCGGGCTTCCCGCCTACTACCCGCCTCTCCCCCATCCCGGCCTGGGGCCGCTGGCCTCCCCTGCGCTCCCGTCGCTTCCTCTGGGAAGCCCTCCAGACGCCTGCCTGAGCACCTGACTTACGGCTCCTTTCTGTCAGTTTGTCAAGGGGTGGGTAGGCTGGCGTCTGTCTCCGAGGCTGACCGTCCCAGGCAGCCTGGCTCTTTCCCCAGCAGAGGCCTGGGGACGGGTCACCTCGATGCGCATCTGTGGACTTTGGCGCTGGCGGTACGCAGGCTCTTCTCAGTCACCTGGTGTGGCACGGGCGGGGCAGACGGGGTGAACCCAGGACGCCGAGCTGAAGGCGGGTGTCGTGCAGGGGAGCGCGGTGATGCGTGCCCTACAGACGCAGGGCTGGCGAGAGGGCAGGGGCCAGGGAGCTGGCGGGACACCACCCGCGATCCTTGTGATCTGTCCCCTGGGCCGTGGGGACCTATGAAAGGGTTTTGAGTAGGGGCTGACTGCTTCAGGTCTGGAGTTTCCAAAGATGGCTGGGACAGTGGGGACAGGCCTGCAAAGGCCCAGGAGGCTGGTGGCCCTGGTGGCGGAGGCCTGGAGGAGTCTGGGAGCAGAGGTCACATTAGCTGTCCCCCCTACTCTCGGCCCTCCCTGCGCTGTCAGACCCGCACTCCGCCACCCCCTCGGTGACCCCTGTGCCCCAGTGTGAGAGGGCGGTGTGCTGTGCGCGAGACCGCCGCAGGTGGCACGGCGGGCTTGGCGGGCCCCTGGGGGCATCCCCGCCGCCGGCGCGTCCCTCCGCTGCGGGGTCCGCGCGCCCGCGCCCTGGCGCCCTCCCCGCCGCTGCCCGCGTCCCCATTAATCACGCGGCGCTGACGGCGCCGATCTGCGCGCGGGCGGCGTGACGGGGACGGTGACGGCGGGTGACGGAGCGGGCAATCGGCGGGCGCCCATCGGCCCATCTTATCGCGCCGGCCCAGCCGCCGCCCGCCGCGCGCCGCCCATTGATCGCGCCGGGCCGGGGCCGGGGGTCAGCGCGGGCCGGGCCGGCCTGACAGCCGCATCCATCGCCGCCCAGACGCGCGCTGATGGCGGCACGGGCGGCGCGGCCCGGCCATTAATCACCGCGCCTGCCGCCGAGTGACGGGGAGGGGCGACAGGGCCAGCCGGGCCGACAGCCAGCCCCCGCGGCCGGCCCACCCCTTCCCCACCACCCGGCCCTGCTGCGCGCCTCTCCCCGCACCCTGGGCTGCCCGGTGACCCTGCCCGGGCCTCCGGCTGGTCCCTAGGGGGCTGCTGGCCGCGGGATAAATGGGAGGGGGGAGGGGTGTGGAGTGGGGAGCGCCGAGCAGGTGCGCCCAGGTGGACCCTGCTCTGCTTCTGGACTACGCGGCCTCCCAGAGACCAAAAGGGAGGGCTGAACTGTCCTGACAGCCGCCAGTGCTTGGCTGGAATCAGGAGGCAGCCATTTCTGCCCCCTGGCTGCTCCAGCCCTGGCTGGGCCTCTGGGGGTGCAGGGCCCAGGGGCCCAGTGAGGGGCAGCACAGGCTTCGGGAAGTTGTGAACACTGAGGAAAAAGCTCCTGCCTTTGCAGGTTTCCAGAGCCCTGAGCAGGGCTTGTCCTTCTGGGCCTAACAGAAGAGTCCAGCCACCTGGGATTTCTAGGCCTTGCCAAGGGCCTGCTCCTCAGATAGGGAGGGGCAGAGCCTAGCCAGCTTCTGCCTCCCGTTGGGCAAAACCGTGACCTTCTCTTCTCCCAGGAGATAGGGAGGGATCCGGCGCTCCTTCTGAATTTTACTTACCTGGAGCGCCCGATGCAGCCACACATCACTTCACCGTGTCCCCACATCCATCGATGGGACACGGCTGCCCCCATCTCATAGATACGGAAGCCAAAGCTCAAGGACCAGAAGGGACCACCCTCATCGGGACCAAGGGCCTAACCCAATCAAAAACACATCCCTGTGCCTCATGCCCCCAGACCCAGATGCTCCGGACTCCCACCTGTCGCCTGACCGGGATCCCTCAAGAGCTGCTCGGGCCGGACCAGCTGCCCAGCCCAGGGCAGGCTCTGGGGGCCGCCGAGGACTGCTGGGTGACCAACATCTGCTGCTTTCCTGGCAGAAGCATGCTGACGCTGGGCTCAGACATGGGGGCCACCAGGGAGTCCACCTCCCACCGCTGTGCAGCTCTGTTTTGCTTCTTGTTTGCTAACCAAGAAGTCACTTTCTGGTGTGACACCATCTATCTGTTCAGTCCTTAAAAAACATGATATCCTACAAACCAATGTAGGAAGCACACCCTAAGAGGTGTGTGTGGCTGGGGCAAAGGCATGTGGGCTGAGAAAATGGAGGGGGACAAGGGGACTTCCCAGACAAGGGACGCTCTGTCTTTCAGGAGCCCTTCCAGCTCTCACATGCATCTCTGCATCTCAAGGGCCATTAGCTCCCATCGGGGAGCTGGGATTTACATGCCAACAACTTCCCCTCAGCCTCCCAATCAACTTGGGCAAGCCGGGAGGCCCCCAGGAGAGCCTGGGCCCAGGGCTCTGAATATCAGCCGACCAGCCCCCCACCCTGCCTCACTTTAATATTACAACAATTTTTCACACCAGAGCTGAAATAGTGCAAAAAATGGGGCTGCTGTAATTGTTGTTAGATTGTGTGTCAGCCTGATAAGATGTAACAAATATTTTCCTCCCCACCAGGGTCTGTTTCCCTCTTGGTAATGGATGGAGAAACTTCTCATAGTCGGCGAGGGATCGGTCGTAAAAACTTCGCCTGGAAGATTAATGTAACAATCACGGGCCTTGCTGGAAAAAAATAGGAGGAAAATTAAAATAACCCAACCTTCGTACCTATCCAGAACCATCTCCCTTACTGGAGCACAGATGAGGGAGGTGGGCCAGCTCCCTGGGTGGCTCCAAGGCCAAGATACCTGAGGAGCAGGAAGGCTGTGACACCACCCCCCCTCCCTCCTTCCCCCCCCCCCCAATCCTCGGCGCTCTGGCCATGGTGGTGGTGGGGGTTCCCTGAGCAGTGGGGAGGGAGCTGTCCTAACCCAGGCCTGAGAGGTTTGCCAGCACTGCTGCTCCTTAAACACTGGAAAAGGTTTGGGGGCCAGGGGAGGAGGTCCGGCAGGGGCAGAGCCTGTTCTCGGCTTCTGGGACATCTGAGGTAAGTCACTGTCCTCACACCGGACCCTGCTTGCCTCACCTGCCTGGTACAGAGGTCAGATCTTGGAGGCCTCCCCAACAACTCCACACGGAGCAAGGTGGTTAGCCCACGGGGGTTAGGAGCATGGACTCAGGCCAGTCTGACCGCAAATCCCGGTTCCACCTCTTCCTGGCTGGGCTGGATGGACGTGGATGGAAATGGAAAACAGTTACACGGGCTCCAGTACTGAATAGCTCTTGCCACACCTTAGGTGTCATTTTTTTTTCTAACGTGCCTTGAGTTGGGAGGCCAGAGACACAGGCACAAGGTCAGAGGATATAGGCCACAGGGACAAGGCGCAGCGCTCAGCCCCGACTTCGGGAAGCGTCTGGCCGCCTCCCGCCAAAGCCCTTGTCCTCACCCGCCCTTCCCCCCGCCAAGCCGCAAGGTGGCACCTCCCTCTGGGGCCAGGCCCACTCTGGCAACAGGGACCAGCTGAGGCCTTCTCGGGGCGTGAGTGTGGCCAGGAGACCCTCAGAGGGTTAGATGAACTCCCACACAAGACCTCAGCCCTCCTGCCCTCAGTGTCCCAGACATTTTCAGGTGGAGATCACTCGCGGGACAACAGTTGTGCCTGCCCCACAAGGCCCTCATGGCTAAGTGGGATTAAAGCCCTGATTGGATCAACATCCCCATCGTGGTTGGTCCTCTCTCCGGCGTGTATGAGTACGGAGACATGGGGCACCTGGGTGGCTCAGTCAGTTAAGTGTCGACTTCGGCTCAGGTCATGATCTCGTCGTGGTCTGTGAGTTGGAGCCCCGCACCGGGCCCTGCACTGACAGCTCCAAGCCTGGAGCCTGCTTCGGATTCTGCGTCTCCCTCTCTCTGCCCCTCCCCCACTTGCGCTCTGTCTCTCTCTCAAAAATAAATAAACGTTTAAAAAATTAAAAAAAGGAGCACGCAGACCCCGCCCGTGTCGGGAACCACTTCGGTGGCTAAGCTGGCAGACGAGGGCCAGGCTGGGCAGGCAGAGTGTTGTGCTCATCCTACCAGGCGAGAACATTCCACCGAGGTATCTACCAGGGCTGCCATTTCCCCTTCCTCTCAAGGAGCGAAAGCCCCACTCGGTGCACTGTGTCAAAGGGACACAGGAGCCCACCGAAAGAGCTCTCAACGGTCGAAGCCGGACCAGTGTAACAGAATAAGTAACGTGGTATTGGATTATAACTCCAAGTATAGATGAATATCCCTCCCCGATCCACACCGATATACAGGATTGAGTAAACACGCAAGTGGGAGAGAATGGGGGAGAACAGGTATCTCCCATGCAGAATTCCAGATCATCTCTGTAGATCCCCAGCCCTCGAGGAGGTGGAGCAGCCCCCCTCCCCCCCACTTCCAGGTGGGCTGCACTTAGTGACTCCTTCCGAAGAGGACGATATAGAAGACAGATGAGACAAAGGTGACAAACATGACCGGAGCCAGGTGACTGCCGGGAATGGTCCTGCACCTCCGTGGTCTTCCACAGAGTGATGGTGAGAAAACCTCAGACAAACGCGGAGGGCTGATCGACACAACGCCTGAGCAGCACCCCTCAACCTGTCACGGTCCGCAAAATCAGAGAACGGGTAAGAAACCGTCACAGCCAACAGGGGCTGAAGGAGGTGGGCTGGCTAAATGTAGTGTGGTGTCCTGGGTGGGATCCTGGGACAGACAAGGCCATTCCTCAACCCAGGAAATTTGAGCAGGGCAGGACAATGCGAGCCAATACTGGCTCATCGGATGTGACAAAGGAACCACACCAGCACTGTGGAACGTTAACAATGAGGGAAACGGTGTGAGGCACACGGGAACCCCCTGCACTGTCTTCACAACATTCTGGAAATCTAAAACTGTTCTAAAATACAAAGTTTATTTTTAAAAAATTCAGAGAGAGACATGGCATCAAAATAACCTACAAGGGTTTATTAGAAAACATTCCAGGTGAAGCAGGGTTCCTTCAAAGCAACCACAGAAGTTATGATAATTTACAAAGAAACACTTTCCACGCTGAACTGATGTCGTTCCCGACCGCGGCTGAGTGGGGACAGAGCCCAAGCGCAGGGCGGCCTCCCGCCAGACCCAAGGCCAGGCTCGCCCGGAGTGTCTCGCAGCCAACTCGGCCGTCTCACTTCATGTACTTATCCTGCTGGTCAGCCAGGATTTTGGCCGAGGACTTAGCATCATAGAAGAGCTCACTGATCTCCTCCACGTGCTCTTTCTCGATACTGTCCTTCCCATTGATCTTGGCCAGCAAGTTGGCCGGGGTCAGCAGCTGCACCGAGTACCTAGAGTGACAGGGGCCGGGGCAGGAGTGAGACGGGGCCACATCAGAGGAGGGCCACAAGCCACAAGCCACATCCCAGCCCCCAAATCTGTCACAGTCTGAAAGTTCTCAGACAGGCTGTAACTGCGCTGCTACTCGAAAGAGAGCACAGGGGCGCTTGGCTGGCTCGGTCGGTGGTGCGAGACTCTTGATCTCGGGGTTGTGAGTTCGAGCCCCGCGCTGGGTATAGAGATTCCTTAAAACTAAAATCTTTGAGAAAAATAAAAGGGACCACAAACTGTGGTGGACACAGGTGCAGGCGAGGAATGCTAAGGCCCAGACTGGACACTGGACATGGCAGACGGCAGGCAAATGAGCACACAGTCAACAAAAAGCACGTTCCCCAAGCAAAGGCACAAAAATCCTGGAGTTTTTAAGTACCGCTCCACCCAAAGAAAACATCTTGCAATTCTGCTTCAACCTCCGAGCAAGGAACAGACTCAAAGGGAAACAGGGACTGGCTGGGAGCTGTGAGGTCGTGATTTCTCAAGCAGTCGGGACACCAAGAGGGACATTGTCCACAGGCAGGTGGCTCTGGGCCACTGGCGAACAGTCAGGAGACCAATCTGTGTCCATGCTCGTCCTTCCCCCTCCCCTGCACCCACCACCCCCTGCCCACCACAGCCTGGAGAACAGAGCCAGGGGGAGGGGTCAAGCGGGGCCTGGCCAGTGAGCCCTCTGCCTCGGACCCTGGTCTCCGGACTGTCCATCTCCTCCACTAAGGGAGCTGGCAAGCTCTCCACACAGGGGAGCATCCACTGTGGGACAAAGGGACCTAACGTGTCACTCTAGCTTTATGGGCGCCGTCACTTAAATGTTCCGCGTTCTAAATCGCAGTGCCCAGGACGAGACCCATCACAGCAGTGAGAGCAGACGTGGTCCTGTGCCCTTGTGAGGGACCCATCAGTATGTCTCAGAATGGGCCCTATGGAGGCTCCACAGGGCAGATGGGCGGGGAGTAGCTCCGGGCAGACGTGCTCACCTCAGAGTCGTCTTGGTGCCAATCTCTCCCAGGTGGTTCAGCGCCTCCTCACTGATGTTGATCCCTTCTGTCTGGGCTCGGATTTTAATAATCTTTTGGAGGAGAAAGACCATGATCAATAGTGACTGACCTCAAGTGTCCCCTTTATCAAGTGCTTTAAAAACAATCTTGTCCAGCGTGTCTTGCCTGGCATCAACCGTGCCGAAGAGGCCCAAATCTGGGCTGGAAGGGCAGAGAGCTGGCCTCCACCCTGGGCTGCTGGCCCTGCACACCTCCGGGGTGCAGTGTTCACGGTGACCAGATGGCGGCTGGTACCCTTGGAGGTGTGGGCCGGGTAGCTCGGCTCCTACCTCCCCACCCTCCTCGCGGCAGTCCCCAAACCTAGAGAACGTGGGCCTCTCCGACACCTGCCCAGGCTCCCTCAAGGGCTCTAACCTTCCTCCCCAGCGTGGGTACCACCACCTATAAGCACTCAGGCAAGAGGAGACATTTTTTATTTGTTTGATAAATACGATGGTTAAATAAATCAAAAAAGTTACTTTTAAAGATTTACCAGCCCTCATAACATCACTGGGAGATATCTAATCTATCACAGAGAGGCTGACGCTTGTTGCGGTTGGAAGATCCTGGTGAAGTTGGAGGGGAGACAGGCTGGCGGCGCGGCCGCTGGAGCACAAGTGGCCCCGGCATCCTGCAGGCGCACCGGCGCTGAGTGATAAGGGGCAGCTGGGATAATGATGTTGTGTGTTGGGGAGCCGAGATAACTCGAGGACTTCGAGCCTCATATAATACAGGAATTTTTCACTTTGGCAGCTTCGTAAACAAGATATCAAGAAGCCCTTGTTTAAATTAAAGCCATAAAAACACCCGAGGTAGAGGCATAGGAAATGGGAAAGACTGAGCCCCCGGCTCAAGCCCTGCATGGGGAAGAGAGGGACCCGGGGGTTTAGGAGCCGGGCTCTTCAGACTGGCCTCACAGCTCCCGGGCAGAGACCCGCAGAGGCAGGCAGCTCAGCGTCGGGGACCCCGGGGAGGGCACCCAGCACGTCGGCTGCCGTGAACGGGACGAGTCCTGCTCGGTAGGACAGCCAGGCCCCGCACAACTGGACCAGGGCAAGAGCCAAGGTGGACGAGACCGCGTGAGCCAGGGCCGGTGGCCTGTCTGTTGCACGCCACCAGTGCCACCGGGGCGGAGGGCAGGGAAATTTCATTTTGTCAGGAGAGACTCAGAACTTAGACTTCTGTGTGAAATGTTCTGATGTCTAAATGTTGGCAACCTGTTCGAATAATTCACAAACACGGCCCCGGCCGT